ACACGGGTAAATAACCGTGTAATAATTTGTACAATGTCATCCGTAAGAGCTCGTATCTCTATAAATGTTTCCTTGGTTTAAGATCTTTGTAGAACATTTAGAGACGATACCAGGAGACCCGACGGTATGGGTTTGGTTGTTTGAGAAAGAAAGAGAGAGAGAGAGATAAAGCTTTAGTGTGGGATACTACTTGCGAACACTTTGACAGCATCCCATCTCAGGAGTGCCACGTCTAAAGCAGAGGTGGCATTAGAGGCAACTGAACTAAGTAAATAGCCCAGAATATCTAGAAGATGAGTACATAATTGAGCAATTTGCTGTAGAGACTATTGGTCCGTAGGGTGCATGTGCGGTGTAGATCCTAAAAAACTGTATCTGCGACTGATCTTCGCTGCTGGTAATAAGAAGTTGTTTAGTTTGTTGTTTCCTCGCTTGAAGACTAAGTTTAGCCATTCAGAGAGGACACGTAGCCAGCATTCTTGGGACGATACCACGAAAAGTAGGACTATGATAATTTCTGTAATTTTTTTTTAATATTGTTATTTTTGTTTCGAAAATGACGTTGTAAATAACTGATACCAATGTAATTCAAAGTTTACATTTTTTATATTATTTTGCTCGTACCCGGCGCATTGCTACCGCAGAAGAAGTAATTGTGGAAATATCGTTAAAAATGTGGAACAGTTATATTGTATAATTAGGAATGATAATACAATCATTTAAGTATAATTATATAACTTTCTATAACTTTCAAATAAATAGTCAGTATAATACGCACGCCACCTAATGTCAGTTAATTGTACCATGCATATAACCTTCGCACAAGTGCAACCAATAAGTTGACTAAGTTTTACCGCAATCTGATGAACGGTATAGCATCGTAGAAAGTACGAACAAACATAAACTTTTATATAGTAGAAAATATTTTACTGTCTATATTGATTAGAATAGGAGTTATTATAGCAGCTGATAATAATATACTATAATAATACTAGAACTAATGAACGGTTGACAATAAATTATTTTAGAAATTATGTTTTTATTTTTATTTTGTGAAGTTAGTTTAATCTTAATAATTTTTAGTTGAATAGTCTAAGGGCTACGATGGCTATCCGAGTACAGAACCAGAGCACAAAACTAATCCAACTGTAAAGATATGTAAGACAGGTTAACGTAACATCCCCGAAATACTTTACCGCTGCATTGGAAGACGTTTTCAAGCTACTGGACTGGAAAGGATACGGTATGAATGTCAATGGCGTGTACTTCACTCACCTTCGATTTGCCGACAATATAGTTCTTATGGCAGAATCGCTGGAGGACCTACGCATTATGTTCAATGACCTCAATAGTGTTTCCCAACGGATAGGTCTTAAGATGAACATGGACAAAATAAAAGTCATGTGTAATGTCCATGTCACACCTATGCCGGTGGTTTTTGGGTGCTTTTAGCTGAAGTTGTTGACGAGTATTTTTACTTGGGACAAATAGTCCGACTAGGCAAGTTCAACTTCGACCGACAGGTTATTCGACGGATTCAACTCGGCTGGGCAGCGTTCGGGAGATTACAACACATCTTCTCGTCAGTCAGTGTCAGTGATGACCTATGGATCTGAGACGAGGTCTTTGACTGCTGGCCGTATGAGGAAGCTCGAAGTCGCTCAGCGAGCTATGAAAAGGGCTATGCTCAGGGATTCAAACTTAGGAATGAGGATATCTGCAGCAGAACCAGAGTGACCGACATCGCCTAATGGATTAGTAAGCTGAAGTGGCTATTGACCGGTCATATAGCTCGAAGAACCGAATACCGATGGGAAAAAAAGGTTCTCGAGTGGCAGCCTCGTACTGGCAGGTGAATTGTAGGACGTTCCCCCACTAGATGGAGTCAAAACCTGGTAAGGCATACAGGAAGTTCATGGATGCAGGTGGCTCAGGACCGTGCTTTGTGACATTTCTTGGGGGAGGCTTATGTTCAGCAGTGTACTTGTGAAGGGCTTCAATGATAATGGCATTACATTAATATGATACATAAATAGAATGGACGTTACGGGTAGAGTCCATTCTATTTAGGTATAGGTACGGAATAGAATTTTATCGATATAATTTGGTACACTGTCTCATCCCTATTATTAGTTCCGTGGACGTGCACTTCTGCTGTCAGCGCCAAAATGGCGGAAACCAAATTGCTTCATCATGTCACTGGACATGGACTGGTGTATAGCCAGTCCAGCGTACTTGTATGTATAGAAGTCAGTGCTACGTACTAAAGCATAGCCCGCCTGTCCTTGAAAATTGTAGAATGTATAGCGGCGCTGACGTCGGTGAGTAGTAACTGCGAAGTTAGCTGTTTATGAGTACAAGTAGATGAAGTTAGTTGAATAATGTACAAATTTTCATTTCATTTTTAATGAGAAAATTTTCATGATCCGTAATTTTGTAATTTTTAACAAAAAAAAAAAAAACATTAAAAAATGGAGAAATATTTTATTGTGCGTGGATGTGCAAGTGGTTTAGCATCTGATCGGAAAAATACTCAAAATGACTTTTATCCATATTTCTGGACAATATTTTCTACGGTGATCGTTCTCCTTATGGAGTGTAGAAGTAAGGAGTACCAACGCCCATAGTAGAATAGTTGAAAAAGTGGTCATCTGTAAGCAGTAAATAACAGCTCAAAAACTCTCCATAACAGCGATGGAGTAGTTACTGGGATGAAATGAACTTAGCAGTTGTCGCCGGTGTAAGTTTGCTGCTAAAATAATCAGTAGCTCTAAAATAATTTTATTTAGTAAATATAACCTCGAAAAAGTCGTCGATCCCATTAATATTTTTCGGTGCGTTCTTTAAAAGGTTTTTATGGACACTTTTTAACACAGTTTACTCCTTACTTCTACACTACATAGTTCTCCTGTTCTCTAACCATGATTAAATCATGATCACTGCCAAAGAAAGACGGTTGACGTTTGGCACTCCAATAAGTGTTGCAAGTATGAGAGATTAAATATTCCACCAATTTTTAGTGTTGTCACAGCTAAAGTACGAAAGTACTTATAGCACAGAATTGTTGTGCCAATCATTGGTGGTGTGCCAACATTAATATTGTTTACTCAAAGAGACCATTGTTAGTTACATAGTTGCCGCAAGCAGAAACTTTGTCAATATATTAAGAGTTAAAAAAGGTTTTTATTTAAACCCCCCCCCCCCCACACACACACACTGTCACAGAAACTAAATTTTGTCATTGTTTTAAAATCATTTTAACACGCTACCACTTGTTTTGTATGCCACTTTATTAGAATACGTATTATTAACTTTTTTATCCTAGTCTCGGAATATATGTAACAGTAGAACCTCTGAGGCAAAATCCTACTTAACTTCAGCATAATATAGGAAACTATATTTAAAAAGAGATATAAACTATAATTAAATGCTATTGAAATAAAACTAGCAATGGTTAAGATAATTTTTAATTGGATTTCCATTAAAATAAACTTACAATTACGCTACAAGCAGCAACCCCTCTAAAGTTGTCTGATAAAAACAATGTTTATAATACCCCCACAAACAAATACTGAAACAAAAGAATTTGGTATTGCTGCTAAATAAATCCTAATTGCTAATTTGAGCAACGCTGTTCGTGAACAGCATTGCTCAGACTAATGTTTGCTTACACAAATTATTCTAAACACATGACATCCACATTCACGCCACCGACGTCGTCACACAGATATTATAATGTGATATTAAAGTTGGATTTTAACGACAGCATATATGTGAAAGTCAGTATATTATAGAAATATTAAAATATAAGAAATTTAAAACATGAAACCGCTTAGACAATAAGTTTAAATTCTAAGAGTAAAGTTAAAGAAGCTTATTCAATAACGACATAATTCTAAATAGAACTAATTCGTTAATGTACAGGCACATTAAACAAATATATTGAAATTTATGGTATTTAGTGAATTGGAAAATAATGTGGTACACACTACTGGATAATAATGGTGTATAAATTAAGAATTACGTAACCAATGTGCGATTGCAGTTATAATCCCAATTTGGATGGTTATAATATGCAAAAGGAATACTTAAAACTGTTCGAAGGCTACTTTATGCATAGTGTGTACTTCTTACATACAAACTGTGAATAAAAGTGGAGACCGTAATATTTTACAAACTATTTTTATTCTATTTTTATCATTTTGTATTTTTTTTTGTTTTTTTTTATGTATTTTTAGCGCTCTACCCCGGAGTGGGTGAATAATGATTAATACACGACGACATAAACTTCGTTAAATATAATTATAGATTAAAAATAAAGTTTCTACTACGTCAGTTTTGAATAGTAAGATCGTAATTGAAAGCGCTTAAATCTTCAAAGCTGAAATTGTAGAAAAAAAATATCTATCAACTAAAACGCTTTTTGATTTCTCTAAGATCATTAACAATTTAAGTCGTTAGGTTGATGTAATTCTAAATAGTTTATTCAAGCATACTACGAAGGTGGTGATGTAAAAGTACTTTCATAAGCCTATTTCCTTGTAACACTTTTAAAGAAATCAAAAGCAATGAATGACACTACACAATAGAACAATACATACTAAATATCTAAATACTAAAAACTTGTTGACGCTTTTCTGAAACCACTATGCAAGCTCAATTTAATATTGACGATAATATGGCAATATCATTTGTGACAACTTTGAATTACCTTTTCACAGGAATACAAAATAGATATTAAGAAATGGAATTTAAAAATTGACACATTGTTACATGGTATAATTAAAAAATTTATTTGGTACCGGTCACAAACAAAATGCCGATATCAGCCTCTGGCATAATACTGCGTATTATTACTTAAGCACTTTTAAATGTAGTTTGTTAGTAGGGCATATAATTTCCTTCAACAATCTTGTTGTGTAAATAATTAATAATATCAGATTTTGTTATATCAATTAAATGAAGGTTAAATGAAAGCAGTGCCAGAGATAAGTTGATACTTATTGCATATTATAGTGCAAGAAGACGTAATCGGGGTTGTTGATTTCCGGCGGCATTAGTGGCGAAGTGGGCGACAGCAGCTGGAATCCCATGAACATGAAAGTGCGAAGGATTGTGGCTCGATCCGGTCGGGACTTCAAAACGCAGATAATGCAGCTGAAAAATAAAATTACATTTGATGTTGCAACTTCAACATAATAACACATGTGTGTCGGGGTATCGTATTGCGTTTTATCGACGTTAGTGCACTATTAATCGCGAATATATTGTTTAGTCGACCAAATACACTATGTCAATATACATACAATTAGAACAGTGGTTCTTAACCGGTGGTCTGTGGACTCATGAAGGCAACCAAAATGGTCCTCGAAGGCATCAAACTCTCTCATACATAAAAAAGGAGATCATTTTTGTAGATTTTTGAAGTGAAAACTTCTTTAGCGGCGTTGTACACTTTTTTTGTAACGGGTAAAAAATGTTAAAATCGCGTCAGGACACGTGACCTGATCGAAAATTCGTAAGACGAAAACTTCTTTAGCGGCGTTATACACTTTTTTTGTAATGGGTAAAAATTTACTAGTGGGTTATCGAAAATTGTTATGGATGGAAGTTGATTTTTATGAGATAAACTTTTTAATGTAATATAAATTGTCATGTTTGTGTACGATAGCGCAATAAATAAATATTGTATTCTACCACATAAGTAAGTAATTTTATACTGATAATTAAAGCAATTAGTGCAAAATTATTCCCTAACCATTTCAAAATACCAAAAATGCACAACATTAATATTCAAGTTTTCACTTCTGCCGGCACTCCCGGAGTGCCACTCGTCGTTTTTATTATAGGACAGGGTGACAAACGAGCACAGTCCACCTGATGGTAAGTGGTTGCAGTGTCCCATAGACATCTACATCTATCCTCGATTACGAATCAAAATGCAGATGCGTTGTCACCTGTAAGGACTAAGAGGGAATGCCTCTTTTCCAGTAAAAAGGGTCCCCAGTTCTCTACACTCACCATACAAAACACAGCAGCATCAAGCTACTATTTTACGCTGGTATTCTGTGAGAGTGTGGTCCTTCCCCAGTAGAGCCGACCCATTCGTGCTACAGCTATATTACTAATTGCAGCATGGCTCTACGACATATACAATATCTTCATTCACAGATGACCCTTGAAGGCAACTAAAGTGGTCCTCTAAAGTATCAAATTCCCTCATACATAAAACAGGAGATCATTTTTGGAGATGATCATTGATGTGCAGGTATAGTGCCGATTCGGTTTTTAATACAAGGATTTAGTTTATAATACAATAATGCCGCAATTTCAACTTTGTATGTTTAATTTGTGAAACAAACCTAAAATACAACCTTACCATAATTTTTAAGACAAAAATTCAGTCAAATGGTCTTCGATCACTAAAAAGTTAAGAACCGCTGCTAGGACTATCTATAGATCGATAATTATTCAAAATCAACATTCCCATAGAGACTTTTGATTAAAAGTTGTTGAGAACACTGTATTACTCACAACTGATTTTTAATGGAGTTTTTACTGAACTGCCTCTGAAGAAGGATAATGTTTGTTGGGCTTTGGCAGGTTTAGTTTATGTTTATTTATCACATTATTAACAGCTTGACGGATTTTAGTGTGAAGTGACGTATGTAAGATATGCCTTTGGCATAAATTCTGGTGAAAAAATGGCGCTTGTGTGAAGCAGATCAACATATATCTTATTTTCAGTTATAAGAAAAAATATTTAAAAAAAGATTTGCTGGGTTTCTTGCTGGTTTTTTCCAGGACAGAGGTATTTTCCGAACCAGAGGTAAATAAAAAATTACTATTGATAAATATTCTGCAATAAACTGTATTGAATAAAAATATTCTATTCTGTTACAACACTGCAGTCAGGATCTTTGTTTTTTAACAATTTGCTTGTAGAATACTTACTTGCTACAACCAAGTCTCTCTTCAGCAAAATCCAGAAGGAGCATGAAGCTCTCCTTGCTCCCAGATTGCAGCACTCCAGGCATGCGCAGATAGATGGTACTGCCATGCACCACCTAAAAACAAATTTGGTATAAAGTTGTATTATAAGAATTTATATTAATTTTTAATCCAAATTAATAAGAATCAAGAGAAAAACCAAATGGTCATTGTTCATCTGCAATAGAAATAGGATTCCCACCCCTTCAGATTGTCCGGGAGACTACGGTAATAATGGTTAATCTCCCGACCTCTCTGGGTGCAATAATTTCTCAGGTTTTTTAAAAATATTATATGCATCCGCGGCTCGCACTCGCTTTGCAAAATCAACAAATATTAGATGTTGCTCGAAAATAAAATTTCTATAAAAGACCATCTTTGTTTGATGACAACTAATGTTTCTAACGGCAAGAAGTATTGTAGCCAAGGCTATTTTATATAACTACTTATTCCCCACTTTAGTAAACACACTCTAAAGGCGTGTATAGACGAGAAGTTTAGGAATATATATCACACGAGGATAAAATATCTCATTAACAAGAGAAGGACTGTGATCTAATAGAAGGATGTTTATGATTATAATAACTATTATAAAATTGAATGGGCATATTTTTTATAGGATAGGGTGACAAATGAGCACACAGTGCACCTGATGGTAACTGGTTGCTGCGGCCCATAGACATCTACATCTATCCTCGATTATGAATCAAAATGCAGATGCGTTGTCACCCGTAAGGACTAAGATGGAATGCCTCTTTTCCAGTAAAAAGCGTCTCCGGTTCTCTACACTCACCATACGAAACACAGCAGCATTAAGCTACTATTTTACGCTGGTATTATATAATTAAATAATCAATTTATTTAACAAAATTAGACCTATGAGAAAGGTCGGGAAGACCTCATGGCTTCCGATGCTGGCAATTTGCCATTTTTTATCTGCCATATGTTAAAATACTTAAACGGAAATTTAGAGAAGCATCAAAGATGCGAGACATCTGATACTGTGGTCACAAATCCGAAGATTAATCAATATGAACCAGCACTATATTGGTAGAGAATTATTATTTAGAATCAGGTCATATATGAAATTAGTCAGTGTCCTCAATAAATATGCTTATATGGTACTGTTGCAACATAAGTTGTTTTATCAGTACACATAATGTACCAGTTATTGCTCTGAACACTGTCCAGTCCGATAACAGGTCATATAAAATAAGGGGTATTGAATATAAAGTGTGTATTTTATGTTAATGCTGTTGTCGAAAATTCCTATTTTTTGTTATAGAACAGGAATTAAGCTTATTTTCATGTAAATCTCGCAGTTACTGCATGAAATCAAAATCTTTGCAATATATGAAAACAAACAATTTTTTTTTATTATAGCGTACTAAAACATAAAAAGTAGCTCAATGTTGCTTAATATGTGAAAATTGTTAAGAGTCAGTGATTTGTGCATATTCACTGTCAAATAATGTTAATAATTCAGGAGACTGTTAAAACACTATATAATATAGTCTGTACGGATAAAAAACTGGATTAGAAATGGTGACTCATTGAGCCTGTACCGTCAACATGCACAGTACCGATAGCGAAAATCCGCTAATAACAGTACATTAACGTTATATTAATCCTTTAATTGGAAATTTACTTTGATGGGTAAACATTTGAAAAGAATTGTATACGCAAGTAGGTACATTAATTTTAAAATAACATTAACGACTAGCCGCTTTGGCATCACCTGAGTGGGATCTAATTGATGACTTAAGATAATTAAAGAAAAGAAAAGAGAATTAAATATCAATTATTTTATCTTATCTGTATTTCTATTTTAATAAAATCTCAAAATTATTCTTATTAAATTTAGACTGAACTCCTGGTATTACTCTACATTTGTACGTGCTGAAGAAATCGCAAAAATGGGCAGATTTTTTTTGTATAACTCGGTCACAATATCTCTGCACCTCGCTGGAATGCGATGCCCCTCTCGCGTTCCCCTTCACCACGCCGAGCTCGCCCGTTCGCGTCAGTATTGTTAGCATCTTGTTGTTTATATCGGTATATTAATATGATTATATATAATTTATAATTAATAATTGCATTTTTATTATCATCATCATCCGTTACTTATGAACATGACGCTAAATAATAAATAATTTAGTAATCATTTAAGAAAATGATTTTAAAAAATATCATATTTATAGAAAATAAAAAATATATTTAGCACACCGTACCGTGAATGTGACGTCATCGAGCGAGGTGCAGAGATAATGTGACTGAGTTATAGTTTTGGCATTTTGTTATCATTGATTCCAATGACGAAGTTATAGAACGTATGAAAAACGCATATCGGCATCAGCATATGGTTGCAGTGTTTACAGGCGCGTATGAGCATAGATAACGACAGTGTGCGAGCGAGAGGTGAATAGAGGTGACGCCATTTTCAATCCTATTCTTTAACCGCACGGGTAGTAATTATTTTTAAGCTATCAGTTTTTTTATATTTCTGTAGAAAACGATGTATTATAGAGATTACTAAATAATGTAATAGGGTCTTAAATTGAACCGAATATGTAATTTGTACATTTTTTAATTATAAAAATGGAATTTAACTTATTTACATTGTACAGTATTTTTAGTTATGGTGTTAACTAGCAATTCGTTTATTTATTCGTTAAAGCCCATCAAGTTCACAACTAAACATAGGTCTCCCCATAAATTGCCTGTGATTGATGGATAGGTAGGATAGGATATTTGTCATAGTTTCCATCCATGCTTAGCAGGCAACTTGTGTGGACAACCACCGTTTTTTATTGTTTTGATTTGTTATCAGGAAGTTATATGTGGTAGAGCCACGCTGCAGCTATATCATGGTTGCAGAACGATTGGGTCGACTCGACTGGAGAAGGACCATGCTCTCATGGTATATCAGCGTAAAATAGAAGCTAAATGCTGCTGTGTTTCGTATAGTGAGTGTAGAAAATTGGCGACCCCTTTTACTGGAATCGAAGCATTCCATCTTAGTCCTCGGTGATGATAACGCACCTGCATTTTGATTAATCGAGGTTTAATGTAGATGTCTATGGGCCACAGCATCCACTTACATTCAGGTGGACCGTGTGCTCATTTGTCACCCTTATTCTATAAAAAAGGAAGATGCTGCTGCCCAACTCCTATTATTTCAATTCCATCTGTCGCCTCTTAAGACACTCACAGTATTATATGAGGTAGTTGATTCTCTTGCTCTATAGTGGATTTTACTTCCTAATTGAGAGTTCACTTTGGATGATTGCATTCATTTAATATTTTTATAGTATTTTTATGAAAAATATTAAAACATTTTTCTGAAGCTATAATTAAAATAAAATATTTTTACTTTTTTAAGCATAAGGGTGACAAACAAGCACACAGTCCACCTGATGGTAAGTGCATGTTGTGGCCCTTAGTCATCCACATTAGTCCTCAATTAAGAATCAAAATGCAGATGCGTTGTCACCCTTGAGTACAAAAAAGAAATAGAAACTTACAGCTTCCCAGCGAGTAACGGTATTTTCCGTAAGGAAAATTTTGAAATCGATCTTCACTGGTTGCCGGTCTTTGCGCTCCAGTATCTTGCTGATAACCTGTAAGGTAATAAACATTACAATATTTAATATAGATTTATATTAACATAATACATATTATGTTCTTATTGTAATTTTTGTACAAATTTTTATGACTAAATTTTTTTTTTGTTTAAATACCTGTCTTTCATATAATTCATTATAGTTCTGGATAACAAATTTATTACAGGATGTAAACACCCTAATACTTGCGGATCCTTCCTACCCTACGAGAGGTCGAGCAGTGGGTTGTTGACGGACTGATGAACCACACCAATATAAAAATCAGCTAAGCAACTGACAGTCAATTATCATTTATGGGTAACAGAGAGCCAGTTTTTTTTACTCAATTTTGTTATTATGTAGCTAATTTGCGCACCACAGCTGGGTGTTATCTTCTTTAAATACATTTTTATTGTAAGTCAAGATATTATGTTTTTGTGATTTCATTATACTAATTGAATGAAAACGTTAATGATTAAGATATTTCCCGAGTGAATCTTTGTAGATGAAGATGAAATTCTCTTAAGGTGATGTGGGCGCGAAAAGCAGATTTTTCACGCCTTATAGGTGCGCAGAAAAGTAATTTTTTGTCATTAAAAACTACGAATCCACATTTTTTTTTAATTCACTATGAAAGTTAAAGATTTTGCTTAGTGAATTATGTTGACCAAAACACGACTAACACATTTTGGTTCGATAGAAATACAAAGTTTCCTCAAAATCTACAATTTTAGGTACGTCCACTTAGTGAAAAAGCTGTTTCATTCTAATGTAATGAAAACAATTTCAATTAAATTCAGGCTGTTGTGGCAGTGTGTTCACCAGTAAATACGTGAGTGAATTATGGGTTTATTTTTCAATAAAAGAGTATATATAATTTTAAAAAGAAAATTTAAATTAATATTGTGCAATTAAATAGCGCGCGGGCTGACCAAACAGCCGCCAGTCGCACCTATAAAGCGTGAAAAATCTGCTTTTGGCGCCCACTTTACTTTAAAGCAGTTGTGTCAAGACATACTAAAGACATAACGCTAAAGATTGAGAACAACACACTCCCACATGTTGATCTGTTTTGTTATAATTAGATATATTATCAAAGTATGCTGTGTAAGTAACGCGCTCATTTAAAGTGATAAGAGGTCAATTTTTATTTGACATATGAGCGTTTGTTCTAAAAAAATTAAAGAATTTATGTGAGATGTTTTTGATATGATTAATTTGATTTTGAAAATATTCACATTTATAATATGGTATACAGTTAGTAGGTTATAATGTAACCATATATCAATAATGTTCTCATGTTTGCATAAAATTCTACAATCGCCATGGTTGACAGCATAGGGTTATCAATCCATATCATCCCATGGGTACCACAAGAAACGAGGATGTGAAATGTTTCTATGCTCACTAACATATAAGGATAACCACAGAAAGGATTAACCGTAACAGCCTACTACGAATATTATTAATATGTAATCATTTACGCGCAGGGGTCATGCTAATCTCTGTATCGTTCCAATTTTAGTATATGTACTGCCGAAGCAAGTACCGTAAGAGCCGTGATAGCTCAGATGGTCAACGCTCGCTGAAAATATAACAAAACGCGAGTAACCCGGGTTCGATCCCCGCCGGCACTAATGAAATTGTTAATTGCAATTTTAAGTGCTGATTTACGACGTGCTCGGCGGTGAAGGAAAACATCGTCAGGAAATCTGCATATCTAAGGAATAAGAAAAAAAATATTGCGAAGACATGTGAAGTTCGCCAACACGCATTGCGGCTGCGCGGCGGACACTTCCTGGCCCTAAAACCCTCTCAGGAATAACGGGAGGCCTATGCCCACCAGTGGAACGTATATAGGCTCTAACTTTACTCTACTAATCATTTACGCAGATAATTTCCAAGCACTGTCAAGAGATTTTGAGCTTCGCACGGTTAGTAGATAACTATTTTAATACTCACCGCTTCACGTCTCTCCGGGTGCAGAGCCGGGTGAGACAGCGACGGTGAGTTCGGCTCGGAAGCCAAGCTCTCCGCGCTGCTCGATAACGAGCTCGCGCTGGCCCATAGTAGAGCGCTCAACAAGTCACCTGATGTTACAGACCATTTAAACTCTGCACAAAAATATACACACATGAGGAACAAACATTTATTACAGATAGCACATTATAACGTTAATTATTATCAGTTACATAAAGATATAACGAACTTGTTAATTATCCACAATCTAAACAAACGCATTAATATATGTGTTACGCTGAAATCAATTTTTTTGTAAAAATTGGATTATTAAAGTAAAATAAAAACGGACTTCAAATACCGTCAATACTGATTGATATATTCCTCCTTATTTTTTTAAGTACTAGAAAGGTAAAGAAGAAAATTTATAACAAATGAATTGAAAGTGTTTAATTAAAAAAAAAGAATATTAACAGTGCTATAAACATTACTAATATTCCCCTTAACCACTCGTGGTAAGCTTAAATTGCTTGTGTTACGAGCGGTTCACGCCAGTAGTCGAATGTTAGTTCGCGGTCCGCGTCCTGCCATTAGGCTACTGTCGCTTAAAAATAAAATGTATCTTTAAATAAAACTAAATAAATCTTACGATTGTTGTCGTCGTGAGTGGGGGTGGATGGGGTAGCGGGGCTCGAAGCCCCGCTACTCACCCCTCCGGGCGGTGCCGAGCTGTGAGCAGGGACATCAGGACCACCTGTCATACAATACATATTCTTGTAGATGGTTAAATAGATTAAGATATGAACGAAACTGCTAGTTAGTACGAATATTTCACATTTGTAAGGCTATGAACTGATTGATTCTCTGAACACCATTTTGCCAATTTACAAAACATAACATAAACACTCACGCCTGTCACCCAGAGGGGTAGGCAGAGACTACAGACTTCCATTTAGCACGATCCTGACACACCTCTCTCGCCTCTCCCACAACCATATACCTACGCATACATGCTCGTCGGTTAAGGGTACTCTTAATTTGGCCCATTTTTAGTATATCGCCAATTTGGTCGACAAACTTTCGCCTAGGACGTCCCTTTCCGACCCTTCCATTCACTTCTGCAACATATATTTGCTTTGTCAGTCCTTCCTCATTCATTCTTTCTACATGACCAAACCAGCGAAACATTCCTTTCTTAATCCTGGTCACCGCATCATCTTGCAAACCACACTCTTCTTTTATCACGCAGTTTCGCACCATTTATATACAAATCTAAATCAATTACAGCCTATAATTTCCTTCCCTCCGCGGACTATTTTAGCAAAGTTCCCTGCTGAACATAGGACTCCCCCATAGATTGCCTCATAGAGGGGATTTTGTCATAGTTGACACGCATGGCGAGAGAGTTGTCGACCGCAGTTTTTTATTGTTTCAGTTTGTTATCAGGAAGATGCTGCCGCCCATCGCCTATTTCAATATCACTCTGTCGTCTTTTACCACACTCACGTGGGTGTTTGTCCCGTGACTATATGGGATAGTGGATACTCTTAAACCGCCACTACACGGCTTATACAAATCTAAATTGTGCCTATAATTACTTAGAGAGAGATTTAGGAATTGGCATATATTTGGCAGTGCCATACAAGTAAACAGTTAAATAGTTATACAAAGGCATAGTTATAGCTAGTAGTTTGGTACTAATATTTGCCGATCCCGTGGCCTAGTGGACAGAGTAACGGGCGCACGTAGCGTGTTGTAGAAATTGTGGGTTTTCGAGTTTCTTCGTCATTATTCTCTCTCTCTCTCTCTCTCTCTCTCTGTCCAGCAGTGGCTTTCTGATAGGGTGTAATGAAAAGAAGTGTGATTGTACTAGTGTAACTGACACCATATCCTAGCCACCCTCCGATCTTTTTGCTATGCGCTATACATCGGAGAACTGTGTGAAGAGCCGTAGTAACTCGCATTTAAAAAGCAAACGTTTGATTTCCGCCGCCGGCACAAATGAAAACATAGTAAAGATACCTTGAATTATCTACGAAATTCAAGTCATTTCGAAGACACGTGCAGTTCGTCAACACACATTGGGGCAGCTTGGCGGGCTCGCCTTTACAAGAGCCCAGCATTCAGTTGATTGGGAGGAATGATTCTAAGTTAATGCGTGCACTTATCTTGTGAAAAAAGTTAAAGTTACAGCCTATGTACGCCCCACTACTGGGCATAGGCCTCTTCTTGTTTATGAAAGGGTTATAGGGCAAGGAAGAGTCCGCCGCTCTGCCTCAAAGCGTGTTGGCGAACTGCACATGTTTTTGAAATATTTTTTCTTATTTTTCAGACATGCAGGTTTCCTCACGATTTTTTTCTTTACTGCCGAGCACGTGGTAAATCAGCATTTAAATTAGAATTAACAATTTAATTGGTGCCGGCCGGGATAGAACACGGGTTACTCGTGTACTGTAAAATTTAACTCTCTTTCGAGAGTTTCTTTTTAAGAGCCGTGGTAACTCAGATGGTTATCTTGTGAGGTAACACTATAATAATTGCCCTAGTCGGAATTTGAATTGGGGCAGCGCGGCGGACACTTCCTTGCCCTAAAACCCTCTCAGAAATGAGGGGAGGCCTGCAGTGGGACGTATATAAGCTGTAACTTTACTTTACTTTACTTTAATTGCCCTAGTCAAATCAATAAGGTTATAAAATATATTACATTAAAATTGTACACGTAAGCGAAAATTTACATCAGTCCAAGAACAACTTACCACAGAGGCCCGGCGCCCAGGCAGAGCGAAAAACACTCGGCGTCGGAAGCCGACAAAGCCGACCGCTTACTGCCGGCCGCGCTCAAAGACGCGCAGTCACCACTGTCACAAACAACAACTACGTTTTAAAAACTCACTCAAATATAAGACTTCAAGGTTTGAAAACCGGCATTGTAGCCTAAACTAAACATTATTTTTAGTAACAGGTAGTCTTTACAGCTTAGAAGGAATGCAGAAACGTTTCAGTATTTTTCTTAAATCGGTTTTTTTGTTCGTTCAAACGGACAGTAGGTTCACCTGATTTATAAATGGAAACTGTCAATATAAAAACTTATCATCGATTTATAATTAAATTGTAGTCTCATTATGCCCTTAAGAATCAGGATGGAAAGATGCTTTCGTATGATCCTTTAACATAGAAAACAACAAAATTACGCTCCTACCCTGATAGAGCCGATCTACTATTCTTGCCAACTATAGATTTTTAATGACTATTGATAAATAAATAAAATAAATTAGACGAAGACATCGTATAATGTTCATTATACGATTTCAACATATCTTCATACATATCAACCTTGAAGATTAAGACAGAATCCAGTAATAATATTGTATTTGGTTATCATCATCATTTTATACGTGGTAGAGCCATGCTGCAGTTATATTAGTAGTATAGTTGTAGCACAAATGGGTCGGCTCAACCGGGGAAGGACCACGCTCCACAGAATACCAGTGTAAAATAGCAGCTTAATAGTCCTTTGTTTCGTGTGGTAAGTGTAGAAAACTAGAGACCTCTTTACTGGAAACGAGGCTTTCCATCTTACTCCTAACGTGTGACAACGCATCTGCATTTTGGTTCGTAATCGAGGATAGATGTAGATGTCTATGGGCCACAGCAACCACTCACCATCAGGTGGACTGTGTGCTCGTTTGTCACCCTATCCTATAAAAATAATCAACATAATATCACGACCAATAAAGCTACACTGTAAGTACAATGGTGATAGACCACTTAAAAAAATAAAATTATAAAAAAGATATTTCAAAAATTTTAAGAATCATCTATATTGATTTATCTTTTCGGGAGTTCATTGAGAAATTTATAGTTACTGTAATTACATTACTTTAATTACAAAACGAAGATAACAATAAATTATTTTTATTAATAATAACATTTGATTCAAACAAATCGAAATAGGTTCACTATTTAATTTACATGTAACCTAAATTACGACGCATTTCAATGCTTATAACGATGCACCGAGCTATGACGAGAACGGGCAATTTCCATTGACACAGCGGAACAAAGTATACTGTAATAAAAATTGTTAGCAATGAATACGAGACAGTGTTGACGTGACTTATCTTTCATTTATAAATCGAGTCGAGCGAGGTAGTGGTTTGGTATTCTACCTTTATTAAATAGATAAAATTAATACATGGTATAGTATAGGTCTACAATGGTTGTAAGAGGGACCTGTATAATAGCAAAAAAAAAGAAACAAAGAGCGAAGGCGAAGTATTTTTTTTTAAATTGCTACACAGGCACAATGCTTCTGCATCCGAGTCTCGTTACATTTTACCAACCAAAAGTTATTAATCACTTTTATAATTTAAATTTTGTTTATAGTTCAATCTGAATGCATCAATCACTCAATAATAAATTTATTGCTAATTGTTATTTATAGAGATAGCATAGAGTCGAGACTTCCAAAGTCTGCCCCTTTTAGCTTTCCTTATTGCATCCCTTTACATGTCCACTACTGCATGCAACAATACAAGGTCCTGATTCACCAGGATTTATTGATCCGCAAGTCTTAGAAGGGATAAAACGACCCGGTGACAACCCTCTGCCCCGAACCCAGATACCGAAAAAATGTAATATTAATATTTTATTTGCCAGCGAAAATATACGCTTTATTATAACTATTTGATATATCTCTATGTATATGATAGACATATTTATGCATCATTTCAGTGACAAATCTTATCAAACACTTATCTTTGTCTATATTGACAAATATTGTTCAGTATCAAAAGATAAGCACACAAAGGATTTTCACGCAGAAAACATCGCTAAAATCTTTGATAAGTAATGTTTTGATAAGTTATATAAATATGGTGTGTTTGAATTTGATTTAAATATCGTATAACCAGCACATGCAATCATCATTAAACAAAGCCACTTTAAATGTCACCTTGCTATTTGTAATCCGAGTGGATTGTCAGTCACTTGGGTTTCGAACTTGTGTCGAATTGCCATATTTATAAAACGCTTATGTTATAAAAAAACACGATGACCACTTCACACATGGCCCTTAGTTCGCATCCCCATCAAAAAATTAACTGTGTCTGTTTGTCCAAACTAATCTTCGTAAAGTCTAAACCGAATTGCGATGAAACTTATAGACCACACACACGGTGAGTTCAATTGATCATTCCAACCGATCAGTTCAAACTAAAACTGTTGATATTTTTTTAAATATTGAATTTTCGATATATGGATAATTATAAATATATCAACATCGGAGTTTTAGAAGTTTATTTATAGATATATCGAAAATCGAATATTTTAAAAAACATCAACAGTTTTCTTTTGAACTGATCAGTTAAACTGACCGTGTTTGGCGACCATTGACGATCAAATCAATGCCAGGACTAAATTAGGCTATATTTCATCCGTAAAAATATGCGCAGGGTTTCATTACTTTTCTCAATTATTACATTTCTCAAACTATGAAAGATACACCATTAAAGATCAAAGGAAAGGTGATATGTTTTTTTACGAAAATTTCCTTTTTATAAATAAAAATTCTAAGTCGCGGATAACGAGTAAAAGCTAGTTTTAATATAAATAGAAAATATATAATGGTATACATATCCATGAACTTTTATTCATCTTATTTAAATTGAAATGAAAAGACCATTTTCACATGCACCGCCATGCCGTGATATACAGGTCGTGTTATAATATGAAAGCTTCAGGTGCTTGACCGCGGACTGCGAATGGGACTAGATAATATTATATCAAAGTTATGATGTATATTGAATTTTTTCTAGTCATTCATAAGTATAACAATTTACTGTCCTTTTTGTATTTCCTAATAATTTTGCAACAATTTCGCGTCAAGATTCCTATATAATGGCTAGCGGCCTCAACTCTAGATGCTGAAATATAGCGGTATGTGTTTCAATGCGCGCTGAACACGGAGATGCAAACTCTCCTTTTAGGCCTTAGTCTTAAGCTTAGACATCGACTTCCTTTCAGTATGAAATATATGCCATAAATGATTTATAGTAGTCGGGAAGTGTCTTATTTTGAGCGTTTGGCCTAATAGTACCTAGCTTATAGTACACAACATTTGTGTTCAAATCCCAAGTAGAATCAACATTCGTGCATATAATTGAAGTGGTAGTGCCATGCTACAGCTGAACTAAGCTGCTGTTGACACATGGTGCATAGGAAATAAAATAACACCTCCCTAATACATAATAAAAACCACAAAAGCCAAAATGTACCGTATATTTGGACGCCACAGACTCCATAGTTAACAATTTAACGTTGTGTTAGCAATACTATCATATTTATATTACATTATTAAAATTTGTCTTTGTTTCCGGATGAATCTATAATAAGACTCTACTTTTTTAATATTTGCGGAAATGGTGAATATGCGAACATATAATATGGCAACATTGCTTAGTAATAGAGATTATGAAGGGAATAGACATTTTCGCGTGGGTTAACAAAAGAGGGGATACAAGACTGTTAATGGCTCCGATAGTCCTATAGGAGTAACAGTGCTCGGTGGTTAATGGCGGAGACAGGGTGGACCGCTTTTTTGCAAAAGAGAGAATAAAAGTTAAGTATATTGTTTATTGAAGAGAGTGACTTATAGGCTTCTGTCAACAATACTTGTGAATAGCGTAAAAGTATAGTAATTAAACAGAAAAGTGGTGTGTTAAGGAAGTAATTAAAGTGTAACTGATCCAAATCTTTATTTATTTCAATGGCTTTCGTCTAATAGTTGGTGTTGCCAAAAGCTGCAGCACTCAGGTCACAGCTCTCTTTCAGGTTTGGTAGCTGAGAAAGGACCATCCTCTGAACGCTCACGGAAAGCCAGCACAGTCATACAATTCTTTCAACTTTCTTATGATAAGTGACAAAAGTTAGAGGCCAATTGTAATTTTGAAGAGGAATATCTTCCGTAGTCCTCGGGTGTGAAATTTTCATTCTTAGACGAAAATAGATGTACTTAGCTACTTAGGTGTCTTGTGTGCTCGCTTGTTATCGTTACTTGTATAAAATATGGTTGGTTATGGGGTCTGGTCTAGTTGTGACCGACATTATTTTTTCAAAATACCACTCGGCTAATTAAACCGACAAGAGTTATGGTTAGAATCTAATACAATAATAGGAAGGAGGGCAACACGTGTAGCCATGATATTTTTTTAAATTGAACGAAGGAAGCTCACTTAAGGTAGAGATATGTAAATATATTTTATAAAATAAAGGTATAAACATCGTTCTTACCAGTACAGTTTCATAACCATTTTCTAAATTAACAAATACGACAAAAATTGAATACACAATGTATAATAATGTATTTAAGTATTTACTATTAATATATCACAACACTGGAATGTTTAAAATATTGTTATAAATTTAAAAGTCGCTATATTTCCTTCAAACGATTTTTCAACGGAATCTTTTTAAAGAAAATTTTTATGCTGTATGCCGTATACAGCATATTATATTAAATTAGAATATTTCTTGTTATTTTTCTTCTAAAGCGACTTTCTTAATGGAAGTTCTGACGGGAACTGATAAAAAGCGGAATAAATACGCCCGGTTCCGGATTAAGACAGCTTTGCCAAATTTAAAAATAGATACAAAGTACAACAACGTAAGAGACAATATACATAGACCGTGTTTTTCCAATCATTTAAAAATGGGACGAGGCTAATCATGTAAACGGTAGGTATTTTTAGTAAATAAAAATAAGTAACATAACATTAACAAATGCTTATTTTAAGAATTGAATGTTGTCAAAATATCTGAGTATGATACGAAATAAAATTAAGTTCTAGTAAGTGTTTAA